TGTAAATATATATATATATATATATATGTGTGTGTGTGTGTATACATATGTATGTATATATATCAAGTCTCTCGAGTTGTGACATTGTTCAATCACAGTCATCGGTAACAATTAACAGATACGATCCACAGAGTCGCGGATCTATGACGTGAAATCTATGGCGACGTTGACTTTTTTTTTGCGGTAAAAAATGATCTCGATGTTTCATCTTCGAAGGGAGTCTTACGTTGAAGTCACGAAAAATGCAAAAAAAGAAAATACATTTTTTCGCGAAAGAAAAAAAAGTCGAGCGCGGATTACGCGGTTATTCCAGTCCCACGCTTGGGTCAATCTGCGAAAGAGGAACATTTTTCATCGTACACGATTACACGTTTTCTCGATCGTTACTTAAAAGGTACGAAATAACGAAAAGGGAAAAGAGGGAAGAGAACACGCTCTTCCAATCCTGACTTTGTGACAAAGCAAAAAAAAAAGACGAAAGAAAGATCATTATATCTACTGTCGACAATTGAGTATGTATACATATATACCTTCAAAGTGCGCTCCGAAAACGACTTCCGGGTAGTTTTACGACGTAAGAACAAGAAAAATTATGTTTTAATTTTCACTTTCACACACAATTAAGTAAGGAAAGAAGCAGGAGGAGGAGGAGGAGGAGGAAAGGAAAGATACATGCTACACGTAAAGGACAAAGCTCAATACGAAGAACAGTGGGATTATGAAAAAAAAGGAAAAAAAGAAACTGATCATCATCGCTATTGTCAATCAAATTTTGAAGTTTATCAATAAAATAATCAAGTGACTGGCGGGAACGACCGGGCGCAGGCGAGACAGACGGACGTTTTCGGCAGAAAAAAAAGAAGAAGAAAGGAGAAATTAATTCGTCATCTCGTTTTTAAGAATAGAGAGAGAGAGAGAGAGAGAGAGAGTGAGAGTGAGAGAGAGAGAGAGAATGAGCAAGCTCGCGTCCTCACGCGATGAGCTTCACTTCACTTCACGGACGAAACGAACAATCGACCATGCACCAAGTTCGTTTTAGACGATCTGTAAAATCCGCGGCGGTAAAAAACGCGCGGAAAAAACAGAATTCTATTTGCGATTCTTTTTTTTCCTCTCACACAGCGCATCGTAGTAGAAAAAAAAAACTCTTGACGATTCATACATGTACATGTACTTTACATACACATTTAGGTAAATAACACATAGATAGACATGTAATTCTAGACTATTAAATAGATGTAATTCTCCGATTCTGCAAGTATATATATATAAAGTCACGATTTTATATATAATAAAGCAAAATTACAGATAGAATTCTGCTGCGATTCGAAGGTCGTCTAAAGCGGTCTTTATCCGAGTACAACGCGGCGACAGGGCTGCGCTCTCCCTTCTTTTCTTTTCTCTGTCGTCGTTTTTATCGAGTAAGAATTATTTCGCTGCCTTACGCTTCATATGGCACACATATACACACACACACGCACGCACGCACGACGGAACACCGCGCGATATCTCTTTTTGTTCCGCAGGAATGAAGAGGGATGGATCCTGTGCGACTCGGAATGCGAAGTTATCGTGACCGCTCCTTGATTTGATCCACTCTCATTCGTTCAACTCGGCAATATATATAAATAAGTATTCACGTGTGTATATTGTCGTAACTATCCCCCCCAAACTTGGCCCCTTTCCTCGCCCTGCCCGCGCGCCATCTTTGTGATATTATTGTTTCTTTTTTTTTTTTATATTACCTATAAGAACACAAGGCTCCTCGCGCTGCCAATTGTCAAATTGTTTGATGACGTCAGAAATGAATCATACCGAGAATTCCGTATGAAATGCAATATATCAGTTCAAATGAAAAGATATACTCACGAAATAACATTCGTGATCGATTCGGCGCGTTAGTAAAATGCTCCGAACACTCTCCTTTTCTTCCAACAATCGATAAATAACCGTAAAATTAATCATCGACAAAATCACGAGCGAAGAGATTAAAAAGAGTTGTATATCATGTTAATTTCACGGATATTTATCGATTGTCGGAGCAAGAGAAAAGGAGCATTTTACCAGTACGTTGAATAGATTATGAATGTTATTTTGTGAATGTACCTTTTTGTACATATACACCACGAAAGAATTCTCGGTGCCAACTTCCTTGATTTCTGACATCATCAAGGACAGTCGCAGCGAGTATTGAAGGAGTCTTAAAAGAAGAAGAAAAAGTAAGGAAAAAGAAGAAAACACGGAGCTCGAGCCACATGTCACGACGCGAGTTCGAGAGAGAACATGAAAGAAAAAGAAAGTAGGAAAGAGAAAGAATTCATCATCGTCATGACGAAACGTGAACTGATTTGATTTCGGTACATACTATATTTTAATTTTCCCTCTTGGCGCGCACATATATCATAAATAAATATATATATATATCTATATATATATAGATAGATACACACCCAGGGTGAACCGCGCAACGTGATCAGCTTAATTTATTCTGCTATTAATGGACCAATTGAAAGTTGTTTATTTGTGTATTGTAAATTTAATGTATCATCTTAAAGCTTAGCTTGAACCATGTTATATTAGATAAAAAAATGTTCAATCGGTCCACTAACAACACAATAAATTAAGTTGATCGCGTTGCGTAGTTCACCCTGTACACCACACACACAAACGCGCGCACGACACGCACACACACACACACACACACACGTAAATATCCTAGCATGTATATGGAGTCGACGTCATTAATCTCGATCATGCCCACCCTCATTGCTTCACTTCAAGTTACAATTAAGAATTTAATGATGGGTTTAACGCGGAGTTATGTATTGTTCACCTCGATAGTTCCTAAGATAGACAAGAGAGATTTTGTCGGTGGTAATAATAATAACAACAACAATAATAATAATAATATAGTAACAATAATTATAGTAGTAATTATAATAATTGTTCATTGTTGATCTCAGGTTGCCGCGCGAAATTTCGTACTGTAATAGAATCTAGATCGTAATGTCGGTCTTTCCCCCGTGTATGATTGTAAATATGTTTCTTCGTGATTTCAGTGATTGTAGTTTTGAGTAAAGCGGCTGGAACATATAGCGGGTATAATTCTCGTCTCGCGATATTCGTATAGTTGATCTTCGTGCGACGTCGATGACGCATTTTCTGCAGAATTTTCACACTCGTCTCTCGTCATGTGGTTTGTGATCATTTATTATCACGCTCGAAGCACTCAGTCTCACCCACACACACACACACACACACACACACACACACACATGCATACATTATACAGATACACGTGAATGAGACGAGGTAGTAAATTTATAAACGATCATAAAGAGTATAACAATATATGAGAATGAAGAGATCGCTGTCTCTATTTATATACATAAATATTAAATATATTACAATTGTAAGAGGATGAAGAAAGGAGAGAGATGTTGATCGATACTCGATAAAAATTCCTACGTTTTTTCTATCGTCGCGAGTAATGGAAATAATCACGGGGAGGTATACATGCGTAAGAATTGCACGGGACGATCGCGAACGAGGCCGTGAAAGGAAGAGAGATAAAAAACAAAAAATAGAGAGAGAGGTAAAAAGTAACATATGAACATATACGAGACGAAGTGATAAAGCGACATCGAGTCGACGGCGACAGATCCATGAAATAAAGTATATTGTTGTGTCTTTATTGTTGTTGTTGCATGAAACTAGCGTAAATAGACTGAGCAGTACACGTGATTAAATAACTATTAACATAAATGATTCTTAAAATACGTTATATTATTGTAATTATATACACACACACACACACACACGATGTGTATTATATTTATAATTGTAACGAGTCCGTGCGGGCAGCGTTTGGAGCCAGGTTCTCGTCCTTTGAGAATTACCTTTCACCCTGATCATCGA